ACTGGTCATTTTCAGTTAGTGTGACATAATCAACAAGCAAATACTAATTAGTTGCTTAAATTCAGGATACATACCTGGGGATCAACTGGAATAAGGGAAAGAAAATCCAAACCTAAAACAAAAATGCTTTGTTAATAGTTGTCTCTTTCATTTTGGAGACTAGAATTATTTCCCCAAATCACTTTGTATTTACTCTAAGCCACAAAACATTTGGGGTATGTGCTTACCACTCTGCCATATGAAGTTTCACAGCATGACTGGTAATATTTAATGTGCATAAACCCAACGTTGAACATATCTCCCCTGACAAAACAACTGGAGAAACCACATCCCAGCGACTCAAAAGCAGCCATTCAAAAATTCCAGAGAAGTAGGACATCACCCCTTTGTCACGTAACACAAGGCGAAGGCATAAAAACGATGAGTTAATGATCTGGATTTGGACCATTTAAAAAAAAAAAAAAAAAAAACATACTTAGGCTCTTAAGATACTTGACATTTATTTTTTTGTTTAGAAATACACCATATTGAGGTTCATCTAGAATATCACTTCTTCAACACGTGACTGTTTCATTGCTCTCTGTTCCGCTGCTCCCACAGCAAGGGCAGTGCAGTCAGCACTGAAGCCCGAGGTCTTGGTAACTGCTGCTCACTGTCAGGCGAAATCTGAGCAAGGTTCTACACCAAAGACTTAGGATTCTGCAACTGCATTTTAGAAAACAGGAATGTGGAACAGGTTGCCCAATTATACCGTATGGAAGTACTAAACAAAGTCATTAACAATTAATAATCTGTCAAGAGATCTGAAAAGTCTAGTAATAAATTTTAAAGTCAGTTCCCCTAGACCTCTGTTTGACTCATTTCTTTTCAATTATTTTAAATTCAGTTTTTAAAATCACATACTAGGTTTTAGGCCATTAATATGGGCCAATCTCTACTCAATTTCATGAACTTTTGTATGCTGGTATTGGACATCACACTAAATATAATCACCACACAAATCAGAAGTCTGATACTAGATTATTCTTCAAATTAGAGAACATTAGTGGGGATATTTTAAAATCTTAATAACCAGTATGAATAAATTATAACTAAATATGTTAACGTACACTCTCCTATCATCTGTAAAGATGTTAGAAAAATGCTTACCACATGATATAAGCAATAGCACCAATTATGTTTTAAATCCTTTTTGAAGTATTTTTTAAAGTGTTGGCCAAATGTTGTGCTTCTAGCAGGGCTTTAAGCAAAAGACTTGGTATAGGAAATCATAATAAATTTTCCAATGAATTCCCCATTACATTGATAATCATTAAGTGACATAACTCAGTTAAGCAGGTTTCTCTTCAAATTAGTACTGTTCACAAAAGGAAATCCTTTCTGCTTCTGCTGAACAGTAATATACAATTTGTCTAGCCCTTAAAATACCATCAGTGTTGTATACACTTAATACTGCTATTATGTTATATTAAGTTTATTAAACTACCATTTAATTGGCTTAATTTTAATAATTTTGTTTTGCTTCAAAAGGTGTTTTAAATTTTTGTAAGAGCTTCCGCTTTTTATAGTTAAAACTTTTTTATTTTGAATTGAAGGAAGGTTTGCAGAGTGGTTCTTAGTCTTACCGTTTATATGTCAATCATTTTTAATGTTTGTTGAATTTTTCCATTTTAATAATTGAAACGTTTTATGTAAAGCAAAATAAAGTATCCACATTTCTAGTGAAATGTTTAAAGCCAAATCACTAGTAAAGACATAAAATTTCTAAACGTTTATCCCCACTTCATAATTTCAGTTAAAAGACAGTCACAGGTTTAATACAAACTCTCAAACTCTTTTTGCAGCTTTACCAGCAGAGGCTGAACAATCAGGTCCAAAGTCTTCCTAGTTTCATTATTTCCAGTGGCAACTCTTCAGATGTACCGCCTGTTTCTCAGTGGTGATTATTTCACATGTATCAGTAGTTCTAAATGTCTACTGAGAACAGATTTGACAGATGTACTTAATCTTTATCTTTCGACATTCTCATCTAGTGATAATTAAATATAATGACTTATACAATGCCATAATCAAACACCTAGAAATGTATCCAAAATTTTGGTGGAAACTCCAGATTGTGTCCCTTTGTTGTCTATACATAGTCCAACAGGGTTTTATTATAAATAATTCTCATGAAACCATTTTTCTCAAACACAAACATTTAAGTTTGATTGAGTAGCATGTTATTTCTAATAAAACTTTAAAGACTCTAAACTAGAATCAGTCCTCAATTTTATGTAGATCAGTTTTACACTTTTCTAAGTACTTAATGCTAGAAAATGCTTACTTTTACAAAATGTTGTGGATTGAATTGCATCCCCCCAATGTAAGTGTTGTAAATTCTAATCTCTATACTGAGATTGGAGTCCTGGGGTAGTGCTGTAGGATAAATGCTGGACTATTACCCAAAGGGTCAGTGGGTTCAAACCCACCAGCCACTCCTCGGAAACCCTACATAGGGTTGTTATGAGTCAGAACTGACTCCAAGGCACTTAGCAACAACAATAACAACATGCCTATGGTTATAATTCCATGTTAGAATGGACTCTATTTATGTTAATGACAGTATTAGTGTATGTCTTGAGTCAAACTTTTTCAAAATATAAAAGAGATTAAATAAGCAAGTCAGTGAACAGAAATGGGGGTAAGGTATTTGCTAGGACACATGATTTTTTCCAAGTAGTCAGGAAGCAAGAGCTGAAGAGACAAGAACCTTTTATCAGGTTCTAGAAAGAAAGCCTTCCCCAAGTAACACTTGAATTTGGACTGCAGACCTCCTCAACAGTGAGAAAATAAATTCTGCATGTTAAAGTCACTCCCTTTATAGATAACTAGACAGAATTTGGTACCAGAATAGTGGTACCAGCTCTAACAGATACTTAAAATCTAGAACGGGTTTTAGAATTGGGAAATGGCTAAAAGAGTTTTAAGATGCTTTGAAGACTGCTTTGAAGTCTTGAATGCTTTGAAGGGACTGTTGATAAGAGTTATACACATGAAAAGAAATTTTGGTGAGGGCTCAGAAAAAGTGAGTAGAGCTATGTAGAAAGTCTCAATTGATTTAGAGAATACATATAGCAAAAGAATATTACTAGAAACATGAACTATAAATTTGTTTCTGGTGAGGCTTTTTAAAAGAAAATGATGAACACATCATTGGGCAATGGAGGAGGGGGCAACACTCTTTATGTAGTGGCAAAGAACTTGTCAGGAATTATGCTCAAATGTTTGGTAGTAGGTAGAATTTGTGATGAACTTGGATAATCAGGCTGGTGAATTTTCTAAGCAAGATTTTAAAGTGGCCGTATGATTTCTCCTTGCCATGAAAAGAAAGAGGTAGATTTGAAAATGAACTGTGCAAAACGCAAAAACAGAACTGAAAGATTTGTAACATTCTGTTATACAAACTAAGGACACATGTTCTAGAATGCTCACCTGTAACGTGGCTATACAACCTTTTCTTAAGGAGATTAAATTAAGCCTGTGACTGATGGATCTAACCAGCTACCATAGCACATAACCCATTATCTTAGACTAAGGGGTCAGAGAAAGGATGAAAGCAAGGACTGCTGTCCACCGCTTAGGAGTCTATAGGCAAGACACAGACCTAAGGAGATACATTAGTTACCCTCCATGAAAAGGAAAGGAGCAAATCTGGAGCAGCTCTATGATGAGCAGAACTTTGAAAGGTGCCCGAAAAGTAAAGTTGCCCCGTTTCAAAGAATGGAGCCATGGTCTTCTGTATATCAAAGTGTGGGGATACGGTCTTCTAGATTTCAAAGACATCTTTGCCATCTTGGTTCTGGAAAATGGGGCTGTCATTAAGGCACGCCACTAGGATGTGGCCACAGTTGCTGTCCCAGTGGGAAGGCAGAGGTGAAACCCAAGGCTGAGGGACCTCAACAAGTGTCTGGAGTTCAAGGCAAATTGGCAAGACAGTTTCAGAGAACAGAGGAGTATGCTCAAGTCTTGAGGGCTACTGTTTATTGTTCTGTTGGGTGCTGGACTGCTTGGTGCATTATTCCATCTATCTCTCCACTTTTCCCATTTGTAATGGAAATGCCTACTTTTTGTCACAGGATGCATCACCAGGTCTCACCCTGTTTGATTTAGATGACTCAGAAGATAAAAATTCAAATTTGGAGTGGATTTAGACTTTTTGGATGACATCAGGGGTGAATGTATTACACATATGGTAAGAACATGAATTCTGGGGGTTCAAAGGGTGACATGTTGAGGATTGAACTGTGTCTCTCAAAAAATATGAACGGTAGTAAGTTCAAGCCTTGGAAATGGGCTCTTTCTTACGTTGTTGAGGCAGGATTAGTTTAAGACGTGTCTTGAGTCAATCTCCTTTGAGATAGAAAAGACATGAAACAAGCAAGTAAGCAAGCAGAGATGGTGTGAGAGAGATGCCACGCCACGTGGAGATCTCCAACATATAAGAAAGCAAAAGCTGAAGCTACAAGGACTTTAGTACACAGTTGACAGTGAGAAAAAACCTTCCCTTAGAGCCGGCACCCTGAATCTGGACTTCAAGCCTCCTTAACTGCACAAAAATAAATTTGTTAAAATCACCCAACCTGTGCACAGCGCTTCTGTTTTAGCACACTAGGTAACTAAGACACCTAAAACCAGTGATGTTTAATTCGGATGGTACATTCTAAATGTACTTTCTTTATTAACACTGATAAAATTGTATTTTTGTTTTAAACGCAAAATTATGTGAAATTACTTAGTTTTCTTGTCACTTAAATGACAACACATTTTCTTTTCTTGAGCCATAAACTTTAACAGGACATGATTGCTACAAGATCAAGTATGAAAATGTTTAGCATTTTCAAAGTTTTATGATACAACTTTAAAGCACCATTCACACCTGACAATATGGCACTAGCAATAATAAGGCAGTCATAATTTGTTCTTGAAATAATCAAGCTGTTTTCCATTCCATAAATACAAATAATCTGTTTTATTTTGTATTCATTGTTGCACAGTATCAGAAGATGCTCCAAGCTGCAGTTCATTATTAATATCGTTTCTTCTTTGTTCTCCTGCAGATTCAGAAGATCCATATTTATGATGTTTAAAAGGAATGTTAAGAACGTATTAAAACTTTGTCATTTCTCTATTCTGTGTTCAGTTTTAATATTTTAATATAAATCCTTAAATTTAAATCAATACTCTATACAATATGACTAATGACATAAAAGTATGCACAATAAAATCAAATACTAATTACAACGGAGTACATTAACAATAAAACCATAGTAAAAGCTATACTACTTAGATGCAGTAGCTGCCACACAATTCACAGATGATATTAAAAACCATTTCATTTTTCTAAAGCACAGAGCGATATGGAAAGAATGCCTATGACTGTGTGTAACCCAAAAGGTCCTGAACTGGCACAGGGTGCTGCGAATAGTTTTCAGATGTTGCTACATGGCAGGAGGCCTTCCCAACAAGAGTCATCATGACATTCTGTGACAAATTCACTTCAACCAATGAGTTTAGGTTCGATTCCTATGATTCAATGTTAAGCAATATTCTAGAGAAACATGAGGTAGATCCTTTTCTGTTCAGTTTACCAACTGCTTAAGAATACTAGTATCATCATAATGATTTATACTGACTAAATATGAGTCATGGATATTAGTTCTTATTGTTTCAATAAACAACAAAAGGAAAAGAAAAAAAAAATGTCATTTCTGACTGACAGACCCCTCTAAGACAGAGCAGCACTGCCACTTAGGGTTCCAAGGCTGTCATCTTTACAGATGCAGCCTGCCACATGTTTCTCCTGCAGAGCAGCTGCTAAGGTCAAACTAAGGACCTTTTAGTTACTGGCTGAGTATTTCAACCACTGAGCCACTGGGCTCTTTATTTCCTCAATATTAGTTTAAAATTCATTTACCAAATACACAGTTCATACATTTTACTCTACTTTGTCAAAACTAATTCTTTTTAAATAGTCATTTTATGCTCAAATTCTGAAATAATATAAATTCTTCCAAATGAAAAACTCATCCAGACTCACAATTCACAGGGCAGGTAATGAGTAAATTGTATCTCTGTTACTGCTCAATGGCAGGGTCACTTGAATTTAGTAATGTAACAGAAACAGTCCTGGTCTTTTGAATTTAAGGTCTTTAGCAACCAAATTCTTCTGTAATGCTTTTCTACAACACATCCCAAGATGAAACCTGGATACTCTTAGATCACTTGAAATGAGTCAAGTTGTTAAAGCAATGCATACCAGAGTTAGAAATTAATCTGAGTTTCCATTTTTGTCCTGGATTAGAGGGCCTCAGTAACAAGTTTTGTAAACAACAAATACTTCAAAACTGTTGTCAGCTGGGTTTACAGATACAGAGAATGCGTTAAAATACCAATTCCCAAACTATATATGGAGTAAAACATAAAAAGCAGCAAAAGGCATTAGATTTATTTTTGGAAGAATACTAATTTTAGTACATTATTTTCTACGAAACTTCAAATAAGCTAAAATAATTTCAAGTGACAAAAATTACACAGCTATCAATATTCAATAACAGATTAAGCATTATGCTTGAAATAAAGACCTCTTTCAAGGGTTTAAGAAAGGATCAGAAGCCAAAATCTGCTTAACAGGAGAGGGAATTGTACTCAACTGAAAAGGTGAGAAAGGAGATCTTGAATATAAGAGACACTGTGACTGTAACTTGCTTGCATATGACTGACAAAAATGCCTGCAAAATCAATGGCTCTGGAGAGGGAAGAGAATTGGAGGGGGAAGGGTTATATAAACCCTTTAATTTTAAATTTTAATTAAAAAAAAATGTGGTCTTGGTTGCTTAAGTTTTACTACAAAAGTAGAGAAAGTAACTGAATTTTTCCAGCTTTAGAGTTAATATGCATGTAAAAGATATCCTTAAATGTTAACCAAGCAATACCACAGGAAAACAGTCGGTAGGTAGATCCTATTCAAATAGTGGAGTTTAAAATTCACAATGTAAAGCTAGTAGCCAAAGAGAACTCCACACTCTACTATACTATGTTCTGATGGGCTACCAAGAAGTGCACCTTAGAAGGGAATACTCTTCCTAACCTTTGAAGCTTCTCCAACAAAGTACATAGTATCTATAATGAAGAAGAAATCCTATGAATGTTTTTCTACTAATATACCACTAATATTTCCTACTAGGAATCTACAAATTGCTCTGCTGTTAGAATGTTATATTTGACTGTGACATATTAAAACAAAACTTTTCAAATTCCTTTTTTATAAAAAGCAAAAAAAAAAAAGCTCTCCACATACCTGGCAAATCTGATGACATGCTTGATATTGGCGTGTGGTGGAATGGTGCTGAGTAGTCTGTTAATGAAGGCGGAATAACAGCAGGATCAACTGAAGTCACACTGGGCACCCTTACAGAAGATGGCTGATACATGAGCACCCTGTTTTAAACAGCATGGGAAATTACAAACAATCTGGCTGTTAGTTCACAGGAGAGAAGGGCCACACCTGGGCATTATCAGTTGTACGTTCACTAAGGTTCATGGCAGCTACTCACTCCACAGCCCTCTACTCTACGTTCCACTTTCATTAACAGTCTTCACCTGAACATGAATGGATCGGCTCTACACAGCAGCTATGATGTAAGAGCAAGCTGGCATTCAAACATAATATTCAGTGCTGGAGTAAGACAGAACAATTCCATCCAAGAATAGAAATACATTACACATGTGCTTATCGTAGAGTCCTGGTGGCACAATGGTTAAGCACTTGACTGGTGTAGTGCTGTTATGATCACACTGGGCTGCAAACCACGAGGTCGGCAGTTCAAACCTCCCAACTGCTCCTTAGAAACTCTCTAAGGGGGCTATGAGCGGGAACTGCCTGGATGGCACTTAACAACACTATTGCTCAGCACAACTTGTATTCTAGTATTTATCTTATCTATCTTATCTAGGAATCACTGGAGTAAAGGCAATCCTGAAGCCAACCAGTCTATGGTGGTAGGCAGCAATCAGAAACTAGGAAAGAACTACCCAAGATTTTAACATTTAATATTAAAAAATGCTCAACGTTGGCTATCATGCTTCCCTTCTGGGAGAACTGATTTTTCAAGTTAGCTGTGCATGCTAAAGTACATATTAAACACACAGAAAAAAAGCTATTTCAAGAATCAGTACAATTAAACTTTAAGAGAAATCATTTAAAATCTTCTTTAAACTGCATTTTCTCTTAGCTCAAGGTAAACATCTAGAAATTTACAAGGAAAACATTTTTTAATGTTTTTATGAAACGAAACACTGTTACTGCCCCTAAGGTCACAGGTGCCCATAAAAGCACTGCCAGTCACCCACTGTAAGCCTAGGAACTGAGACACAGAAGGGGTCGTTACAAACAAGAAGAAAGTCAAACCTACGAGCATGTAACACATTAGAATCATGGTCACAAAGCTAAACTGGAATGACAATTTAGGACCTCTAGATAGCATAGTGGTTACGAATCAGGTTGTGAACCACAAGGTCAGCAGTTCAAAACTACCAGCTTTTCCGCAGGAGAAAGATGAGGCTTTCTGCTCCCGTAAAGATTTACAGCCTCGGAAACCCTGTTCAGGGTCGCTATGAGTTGATGACTCCACAGCACATAACAACAACAACAGATGTTCTTAATCTTGCTTGACTGAAAAGTGATGTTACTGCCTGGATTACTGAACAGTGACAACAAAAAATGTAGACATATTTGATATGTTCTTCCTGCCACAAACTACTGACAATTTCTTAACTTCGATTTAATGAGTCCTGGTGGTACAGTGATTAAAGCACTTGGCTACTATACTTAAAGGTCTGTGCGATTTGAACCCACAAATTGCTCCTTGGAAGAAAGCTGTGGCTGTCTGCTTCCAGGAAAATGTATAGCCTTGGAAACCCTATGGGGCAGAGATCTAGTGTGCTGTCTATAGGGTCACTATGAGTTGGAATCAAATCAACAGCTGTTGTTGTTGTTATGTGCCGTGGAGTCGGTTCCGACTCACAGCGACCCTGTACAGGGTTTCCGAGGCTGTAAGTCTTTACAAGAGCAGAAAACCTCATCTTTCTCCCGCGGGAACAGCTGGTAGTTTCGAACTGCTGACCCTGAGGTTCACAGTCCGATTCGTAACCACTACGCTACCAGAGCTCCAAATCAACATTAATGGGTTAAATTTTATTCAAATCTCAAACCACTTAAATTACTCACAACCTATTAAGAGTTGTTCTAAAAGTGGTTTGCATTGTGATATGAGAACCTTTTCTAGCTATAATTTTATAGTATTTCTCAAATTTATGGATGCCTCTAAAGATGTAGAAAATAGAGACATCTTAAGAGTAATAAATGATTATGTTAGCAACTGTTTGTCTCAGAAAAACAGAGTAACAGAGAAGACATATGAAATATAAAATGTTTCAGGGAACAGCATAAGTCTGGTGTTTCAAAACATTTTCAGAGGTAGATGAAGATGAGAGAAGTCATTTTACAAACAAATTAGAACTAGAAGTTTCTTGGCTTTCAGTTTTACCCAAAGACATAAAACTACAAGCAAGTGATGAGCAATATTAGAAGAGAAGATTCGAAAGGGGCTGGGGATAGGAGAATGGGGATGAAATGGACTAAATTATATTTTATTTAAGCTCATCTCTTTCTGGAGGACAGTGGTCCTCCACAAAATAAATGTGGAAGGATGCAGAGTGCACTAAGCTGAGGAAGGGTGCAGGGGGAAGGAAGAGACAGAGATTGGATTAGTGTTGGGGAGGGGAAGAAGAGAGTGGCTCTAATTAGTCTAACTGCTTCATAGTATCAAGGCCTGGGAATTTTTTCTATTTTTTTTTTAAATGTTAGAGACACACTTTTGAAAACCTCCCCCTCCATACAAAAAAATCCAAATATTGCATAAGGTGTATGTAACACACACACATGCTATTGTTATATGGCACTGAGCCAGCCAGTTCCAAATGACAGCACTGCTGTATACTAATTACAAGGCTGTAAATCTCTACGGCAACAGAAAGCTTCATCTTTCTCCTGAAGAGCAGCTTAGATGAGGTTAACAGCCCAATGCATAACCCATAACACCCCCAGGGCTCCCATATATATGCATGTAAAAATATAAACAAACATATATAGAAATATATTTTGTTGTTGTTATATGCTGTCAAGTCAGTCCTGTCCCACAGTGACCCTGTATAGTGTTTCCAAGGAGAGCCTGGTGAACTTGAACCCACTAACCTTGTGGTTCAAGCTGACCTTGCGATCCAGCAGGGCAGCAGCATTAACCCTCAATGCTACATCAGGGCTCTCTCTCTCTCTACATATATATATGTATGTTGTTATGTGCTGTGGAGTCGGTTCCGACACATAGCAACACTGCACAGGGTTTCTGAGGCTATAAATCTTTATGGGAGTAGAAAGCCTCATCTTTCTCCTGCGGAGCAGCTGTTAATTTTGAACTGCTGACCATGAGATTAGCAGCCCAATTTGTAACCACTACACTACCAGAGTTCCGTATGTGTGTGTGCTGTTGTTGTTAAATGTCGTCAAGTCAATTCTGATCCATAGCGACCCTGTATAGGGTTTCTAAGGAGTAGATGGTGAGCTTGAACTGCCGACCTTGCAGTTCAAACAGCTTTGCAGTCTGGCGCATTAACCCACATTGCCACACCAGGATACTCTCTGTCTCTGTCTCTGTCTCTGTCTCTCTCTCTCTCTCTATATATATATATATATAATTTTTGGTCCAGCAGGTAAATGTGCTGGATCACAAGGTTGGTTTGAACCGCATGGTTCAGGCTCATAAGCCACTCCTCGGTGGTGGGGGGTTCAAAATGCCAAAACTTTTGGTCGGCAGTTAAGTGCTTTAATCACAGTGCCACCAGCACTCCATTATTACCATCATTGTTCTTGTTCCTACTCATAGTGACTCTCTATAAGTGTTTCCAAGGAGTGGCTGGTAGATTTGAACTGCAGACCTTTTGGTTGGCAGTCCACTGCTTATCCTATAGTGCCACAACAGGACTTCATAAGAATGTTCTACTTATTGTATTATATTCTATCATCATAACAAACACGGTTAAATAATGATTTCTTGTTTCTCCAAAAGCAATGTTGACTGCTACATCGTAAGAAAGTATAAAAATCCACTGGGGTTTTAAGTCTATAACCTCAGCAAACATTTGAAAATTAAATTGTTTATTGTTGGTTAATTACTATTACCTGAACTTTGAAAACAAGCACACAAATTCAACTTGCTATGTTTGGAGTTCTGGTGTGGCGCTGTGTGTTAACGCACTGGACTGCAATGTCGGTCTGAAATGCAAAGTTGGCGGTTCAAGCTCACCAACTGCTACTCGGAATCCCTATACGAGGTTGCTATAAGTCAGAACCGACTTGATGGCACTTAACATGTCTAACTTAGTTGCTCGTTAATTGGAACGGGTAGTAAAATTCCACAGTGGTAGGTTTTTGCTTGTATCAAAAGCATCACAAGAACCATTTAGATAGGAAAGTGATTTTAAAGCCTAGGCAAAAAAACAACAAAAAACCTCCAACAACAAAACTCCATATATTTATAAACATGGTGCTACTGGACTGCTAACAACAAGTCTGGAGTCCTAGTGTGGTGCTATATGATAAAGCACTGGACTCCAAGGCTGGTGGATCAAACTCCCATCCAGTCCTCAAAAACCCTATACAGGGTTGCTCTGAGTTAGAATGGACTTGATGGCACTTAACAACAACAAAGACATGGAAGAGCAGAACTGAGGAGAAACAGAAATAGCTATGTCTACTGAAATTACAAGTATAAAAATGTGATGCTAGAAGCTTATGGGAAAAAAGTCTTTTAAATCTTTAAAATAATTTGTTACTACCCCCTCAAAGGACTAGCAAATTCACACACAAGCACATGTACATATCACACATGTGTAAATATCTATTTTAAAAACTTGTCATTTTTTTGTATTATACAAAGTAATACAAGAACATAAAAGTATATTTCCTGGAATGCTGTTGAAGCAATTCTGACCCATGGCGACCCTGTATAGAGTTTCCGAGGAGCAACTGGTGAGCTTGAACCTCTGAACTTGCAGTTTAAATGGCTTTCAGTCTAGTGCATTAACCCACAGCGCCACACCAGGGCTCTGAATGCTCCAGTAGCAGGTATTAATATTCTAAATTGTGTTCTAGATCAAGGAACTGCATAGAATCTATCATACTTACATGAACACGGGCTGACAATTAGGTAACTTGAGTTTTTATGCCAAAACCTAGGATTCTCAGTGTGTGCCCAAAGGGTCATCATAAAAAAATGAAGGAAATCTAATGTTATTACCAATCCTTCATGCTTCTTAATCCAGCGACAAACATATTTACCCCTATTCTTTCCTGCCTTTCCAAGACCCTCTTATTAAAGACA